CCCCTGGCCGAGACAAACCAGAGTCTGTAAAAATGATAGTTTTTACTCCTGCTTAACGCTCAGCAAATTAAGAAGTGGGACGACTGGTTCGCCCGTTGTCAGTATAATGTGACCGGGTGGGGGTCCTGCTGGGTGTCTTCGGCAGTATGTTTCAGTGAGGTAGCACTATAAAAACGGCATCAGTTCCGCGCTATCATAAGGAGACAGACACGAACATATTGCACCCTTCAAAAACACACACGCATACACTATACGCATACATCTTGCACACAGGGTAGGCACGTCCTTAAATGACTAAAGCTGTCGAAAGGACGTTAAACAATACTAAACCAAACCAAACCAAACTGCTTAATGTTCAGCATTTAGGCAAATTGCAACAACTGGTTCACCCATTGTCAGTATAATGTGACCGGGCGGAATGCTGTGCTGGATGCCTTTGGCATGGTATCTCAGTGCGACAGCACTATAAAGTCGGCATCAGATCTGTGCTATCACAAGGCGGCAAATACACCAACATAGACTGGCTCTGGCACATATACACACTTGCACGCGTACACAACATACATGAAGGCACGTTCTTAAATGAGTGTTGCTGTTAACAGGACGTTAAACAAAATAAAACGAACTCTGTTTCTACTTAATCTCGTTAATTTCCTATACTGGTGATTTATCAGAAATAAGAAACCCCACCTAAAGACCCAACCGTTTGCTTTAAATCTGAAAACCATCGAGCTAGTCCATTGTGGCTATATAAAGCCTCAGGGTGGACAACACTCTTTTTTTGTCCCAAGAACTCTTCGAACGGGTTTTTACCGATTTATCTGAATTAATGATTTTTATTGTGATTTAATTAAGATAATAGGATTATGCTTTACTGTACAGCTTGATGCATAACACATTCCTGCATAGCTAGGATAGAAATAAAAATATCTCTTTTCAGGTTCTAACTGTAAAATCTGAATTATTATTTTTTCATCGTTTATAAGTCAATAAATTCACTAAATATGTATTTGTTGGATATTCTGAACTTGTTATGACTTCGTCATATTAAAATTCAATTCATATTCCGAAGTGACATACTAATAGTATCAATCAGTCATATCGCACCTGAAACATCTGTTGCGTGGTGTGAAAAATCAAAGCTATTAATTTCGTGTGTTCAAAACGTGCATTTCTCCACCCACAGTGAGAGAAAATATTCATTTTTATAACATTAACAACGTATCATCACCTACACACTTTTCCAAAAATATAATTACATGAAACGATCATAAACAATTCAAATGCAGATTTGAAATGAAAAACAATATATGAATTTCTTCAAATACTAAAAAAATAGTTTTCTATCTTGGAAGTGTCAATGCAAAGTATTGATGGTTTAATATATTGTCGATTTAAATTTTAAATTTTAATATTGTGACTCCTAACTTATCAACGCATATTTCAATTATATGATTTACTGATAAAGTGTTGGCATACTACGTCTACTACTAAATATTGTCGGTGCGTTATGGTTCATTTATGTTGAACAGCAACAAAATGATGATAAGAATACAGAAAATTAGCGGAAATACACGTTTAAGAGTTGTGAGTTACTCTATAGTCACGAAAAACCTACACGATCCCTTCAATGTTTTCTGAGACATAGGGCCAACAATCTTTAGCTCTCACTTTAAATATAAATTGTTTGCACTATTTTGCAACAATTATGAATCAATATAAAGTAACATTCTCGTTGGTCCGCATAGAAAGACGCAGAGGGTCTAAATGTTGGGGGAACCAGAGTACCCGGAGGGAAAGCCACGTGATCGAACATGTGACCCAATACCTTATAAAGTCAGATAAAGTATCGATCCCCGGCTGTTTTGGTGACAGGTAAGTACGCTATCCACTGCGATATCAGATTCGTTTTCCGATCAATCCCAACTTTCGTTATGACCATAAGAAACCTACGTTTAAAATGTAATCCATTTAGTGCTTTCTAAGAAATAGCGTTAACAAATATTGTTAAATGACAGGTTGCCGACAGACGAACTTAAAAGTTCCTGCCTTCAATGCAAATAAGCTCCAGTAAAACAAAACAACTAAGACAACAGACAAACAAACGCACGCAGTAAAAATCAAATTTAGATGCTCCAGAACTGTGAGCGATTGCTGCTTACAAATGGCATCCATCATGATGTATCACAGGAAAGTATGAAGACCACCAATGATCGAAGACTTTCAGATAAAGAGTAATGAATTCAAACGGGTGAATATAAATTAGTTCAGAAAGCCATGAGCTGTGTTATGCATTCAACATGACACTGCTTTCCCGAAAATCCTGATAGTAAAAGCAGGTCCCAGAGTGGCGGATAACCACCGATAAGTATACCCTATAGGCAGTGGACCGGGTGTTATTAAAGAAAGGAAAGTTAACAACTGCCAAATTAAAGTAGTCTAGTTTGCATGATTGTTAATTACAATTGTTTGAGAGATATGAAAAGTTCTTGAATTCTTTGACATTCAAAATAACACATCATCGATATATCTGAATGTGAAATTATTTGATAATGCAATTGTCTTTTCTCTTGTCTTCAATAGCCTTTATGTACATGACTAATATTTACATGGATTAAGTATTTACAGTCCATCAACACAACGTGGCCGTGGTCATACAGAAGAAAATGGGAAAATCGTCATCATTGCCAAACAACAAAAAACGAAAATCTTCGCTTATGCAGGGTCCAAATTGGTCGCCTTTATAGACTACTGGTAGATTATTGGAGCGATTATAATGCATGCACAATCATGTTAAGAAATTACTCAGGATTCTGATGCGTCTGTGATTTAACGTTGTTTTCCATTGGTAAACAACCATGCATTATTGGACGTTATTTCCATTGGTAAACAACCATGCATTATTGGACGTTATTTTCCATTGGTAAACAACTATGCATGATTGGACGTTATTTTCCATTGGTAAATAACCGTGCATTATTGGACGTTATTTTCCATTGGTAAACAACTATGCATGATTGGACGTTATTTTCCATTGGTAAATAACCGTGCATTATTGGACGTTATTTTCCATTGGTAAACAACCATGCATTATTGGACGTTATTTCCATTGGTAAACACCCATGCATTATTGGACGTTATTTTCCATTGGTAAACAACCATGCATTATTGGACGTTATTTCCATTGGTAAACAACCATGCATTATTGGACGTTATTTCCATTGGTAAACACCCATGCATTATTGGACGTTATTTTCCATTGGTAAATAGCCGTGCATTATTGGACGTTATTTTCCATTGGTAAACAAGCATGCATTATTGGACGTTATTTTCCATTGGTAAACAACCATGCATTATTGGACGTTATTTTCCAGTAGTTAACAACCATGCATTATTGGACGTTATTTTCCAATAAACTATGTGCGTGCAATACTCTTCCAAGTCTTCTACAAATGTATTTTATGGAAAACTAGTACTGGAAAGTCTTAGTGAGAATAATAGAATATGAATGCCTCGTGAAATTACTAGGATGCTAATTATCAAATCCCCAAAAGGCAAGTTTTACAAATGACCTTCTGTCCAATAACTTATAGTTATTATTATTAATTTCTAATTAGCCAGTTTTACTCTAATTTTTAACAATTGTATAATTTAGGTGTTTAACTCACTTAACCTTCTGTTTCAACAGTATTTTTGGACACTTCGAATATCCACCTTTTTAGCCCCTAATAACACTGATGAGTCCCAGCAGGATTAAACAGCTGTATTGTGCAGTGTAAGTCAGCTCTGCCATACTGTGTCTATAACCAATTGTTATGGGTGCAACCTTCTTTGTGTGTCTTACATACATCTCAATATATCTTAAAGACTTTCAAATACTATTATGGAGAATAATTGTAACCAGAGCATTGTTGGGTGTAACTCTCAGAACCGCGAAATGTGTCAGTTTGATGTCCCGTACGATCTCTGGAGGGAAAATGCATTTTATTGATATAACATTATTGCTGATAAATGTCATTGGAATCTAAATTTAAGACACACACATGGGATTGCACCTTAACCAAACGGGAAAAGATGCAGTATGCCAAAAATAAAATAAATAACTGCCCCATGCACCTGTTTCGTCCTCCTTATACCCATCGGTGATGATCGGGGCCAAAAAGGTTCAAATCCAAATTGGTCTAACCTGCTGTGGAAACACTTCGAAAGCTTTACAGATTGAATAACTTGTTAATTATAAGCCTATAAAACAATAATACAAACTAACAAACAAACAAAAATGAAAGCTCCCGGATTCAAAATTATGAAGATTAAGTTCTAATCGTTTATCAGATCCGTTCGGGAAAATATATATGTGTTATTAGCAAGAAAATTAAAATTATGCAATGTTAGGCAAAATTTGGAGAAGTTTGTTATATTTACTTAATATTAAGGTTTAGGTGAACTGTAATGCTCTCTAAGACACTTTTATATGTTTACAGATCATTGGTGTGATTTGGTCTAAGCGAGTTGAATATGTCTTGAACTTCATGAACAAGTTATAAGTATTGACAAGGGTAATTTAAGTAGGGTTATACAATGAAAGTACTAATATAAGTTCTGCCTGTAAATAATATTGTGTTTCGTTTCTTACGTACATGTTGTGGTTTGTTTAAGGTAAACACAACTAATACTGATTAAAAAAATACTTTGCAAAATATTTTATTAGTCATTCAACCGGGAAACTAATGGTATGTTCTTTTTAAAAAGAAAACATAACAAATATTAGGTTAGGGTTTTGGTTAATTTCGATATTGATGTCATATCAATTTTATATCTAAGTATAGTTGCTTTCCCGCATCGGTTCAGGCTGTTCGTGATTGGTGGATAACTACTTGCGTGCGTAACGCTAGCACATAGGTAATCCTTCTTCAGTTGTATTGTATTTGATATATATACACACATGTCATTTATGTGAGGGATCGCACGTATTAGGGTAACGGCTATTGTCAGCGTTGTTGTAATTAATGAATGACAGATTGGTACCGTACGACTTCCTTCTACAGGTATATCATATAAAGAGCCAGCATGTGTTACACTCGTCAGTTCGTTCACGATGTTAACACAGTTGAGCTGGCTAACTAAGCGGCCCACTTTATAAGGAGTCATATCTTGCAGTGGTTGAAGATTTAAAAAAAAAATAGCCTATTTAAATATACCAGTATATGCAACACAATAACTGAAGGTAAGAATTGTAGAGAAAAAAGAATGTAAATATATTGTAAATTATAATAATGTTTGAAGTTCCATATAATGCAACTTTATATATTGAGTGCACAGGTGATAATAACAAAATTAAGAGACGAGAACCTGTGATGAGTTGAAAATAAACATCAAATGAAAATATAATATCAGAAATTATGTTACTAGGCGACCTTGTTTATGTGTAAATTACTCGGTGAAATGGTTAAATAACACGTGAAACGCTTTTAGAAGTGTTTAAAAATATTTGGTTTCCTCGTTTTCAGATGCTGTATTTAAGACTTTTCCTATTGATAACACTTATGGGATGTTTACCAAGTGTCATTGGCCAAAACTTCCGACATCTTCGTCTGGAGCCATGGTTTGCACAGTGTCTGCGTAAATTTTATAAGAAATTTAACAATGTTGAAAACTCTGTAGGATTATCAATAAAGAACTTCTGCACATTTTCGTCTGATTGGAATAAAATGCGAACCACGAAACTAAGCAAGAAGTATTTAGATCAGCACCCCCAGGCACGAACCTATATAGACAGCATCAAATATAAGGTTCAAAACGAGACTCATAAACATCGAGGAAAACGTCAAGCAGACGAAATACGCGTACGGAAGGAATACCGTATGCTAACAGACGAAGAACGCAATCGTTTCCATAGGGCTGTGTATAAGATGAAAAATACAATGGTAAGTGAATGCACTTTTCTTCCTTTGCTGTATTTCTAAATATAATACGTAACATTTGTCAGGTTTTGTGCTTGTTTGTTTGTCTGTCTGTCTGTCTGTCTGTCTTCTGTCTGTCTGTCTGTCTGTCTGGTTAGGGTTAAACGAGAGGGTGCCTATGGAGACACCGCCGCAAATAAAGAGTAAGAAAGCGGGAAAATAAAACATTGATATCCTTAGTAATGCAATGGTCAAGTTTGGTTTCCTAAATGAGCCATGACCAGAAGAAATGGAAGAGAAACCTCCGATTCTGTAGGGATGGGGATGGATAGGTTACAAAACACGCAAGATATTTGTATAGATTCGTTGACCTGTAGTGAAGCGATGAGTGAATGTTGGATTGGTTTGCCACTCACTATCGATCTGCAGGTTTAAAAGGAGTTGTTGCTCCCTAACGTCCTATTTGTAGAGATCCGTTTCGAAAACGTTCTCTTGTGATGACAGTTTGTATTGCTTTTTGAGTCCCATGTCTTGTGTATTTCCACTATTGGTAATTTCCGCTACTTTTACGTGTTTAAACTGTAGATTAACGTGTAGTGCGGGATGACCTTTGCATATTTCTATTGACATATTTAGTATCTTGATCGATTAAAATATCTTGTCTAAAAATGCATCCCTTTAACGTATGTCTTATTTACATGAAAGATGTTCAGGCCGTGCGTATCCGTTAAATAAATATCCTTTTTTTTCCAGGAAGGGGAGGTAACTCGATATGAAGCCTTTGCAGCTTATCACTCGGGAGACACTCAATTCACAGCGCACGGGGGTTGCAACTTCCCTGGCTGGCACAGGATTTACTTGCTCATGTATGTACATGATAAAAATAATATTGCAAAATATGTTTGTTAATCAAAATCATATTTAAACGAAAGATGCATTTGCGTTATAACGCCTTTGAACTTTCGCTAAATAATTAAATAAACTACAGGAGCAATAATTGAAATCAGCAAATATGTCTTATAATTGTTATACATGTATTTTCATTGTGACGTCACAAGTGGTTCAATGATGACGCCGCACTTAAAACATCCGATGACTGATATAGAAGCCTGTATAATCTTTTTTTTTTAAATATGCGCATTTTGCTTTGATGTAATGATACAATTATTGTAGTTGTGTGTTTTAAGCTTAGATTAATGAAAAGAATCTACTGTTTTTTGCTTTTTTTACTTATATCAGAAACAGTGAACATCACTTTTTTAAAATCATCCGAAATTTTATCAAGCTCATAGTACATACAAATTATCTGGACTTACAAAATAACGCAATACAGTCACGTAAGGTTCTGTACGGATTGCTTACAGGTTTGAGGAAGCCCTTAACATCGAAGAGCCTGGTCTTGGTGGTATTCCCTACTGGGATTCAACAATTGACAACGAATTAGGCCCACTGGCACGTGTATCTATTATGTGGTCAGGAGCATTTGCCGGGAACGGAAATGGAACTGTTACCTCGGGATCATTTGCCGGGCCCACGTCAGAAAATGATCTTACGCGAAATGTAGGAGGGACAGGGCAATTGCTTTCTGAAGAAGATGTTCGAAATATCACCTCACGCACACGTTTTGGAGAAATTTGTGGAAATGCGGAACCTCAGTATGATATTGAGTTTAAACATGGCCCCGTTCATATTTTTGTAGATGGGCAAATGGGTGTTATACGTACAGCAGCGTTAGACCCAGTGTTCTTTCTTCATCACGCGTTCGTAGACTATATATGGGAAATGTTTAGAGAAAACCAAGAAAATAATAATGTAGATGTGGAAGCAGACTATCCGACGGAATTTGGAGATATATTCCACGCCCCTGATGTAAGGCTTGATTTGGAGCCGTCCCTTTATGTAGCAGATACCTTGCAAAAACGTTTCAGTGCAGGTTACCGCTATGCCCCACGACCAACCTGTGATGTCGTAAGATGGCATTGTAATAGCAAATGGCTTAGATGCATTAATCACCCGACACTTGGACCGAGATGTGTGCCGATTCTTATAGGAGAAGATCCTACAGATATAACAACTACCACGTCTACATCCTCCACCACTTCCACTACCACAACCACCACTTCAACTACTACTACAACCACTCCATCCACCACTACAACCACCACACCTTCCACAACCACCACGGCGCGACCCGATTGTCCTACATACCCACCGCCGACACCGCATCCCCCTTACAACCCTCCCAAAAGAGGTTACGGTGTCGACGATGGACTCGTTATATTACCAACACAGAACACATTTGGTGTGGACGGAGACTATGACACTAGGCATTGGATGTATCTACCTGTTAGAATAACAGTCAGGCGACCGAACGACTATAAAGCCTATCGTTCATATCCGGTGAAAAAAGGGAAGGTTCAAAGAGAAAACGATGTGTACGCCCCACGCTCTGAGCAGAATAAAGTGTATAATTATATCAAACCAGGGCAACCAAAACGGTACGATAACTGTCAGACTTCCAAGAGTGGAGCAGGAGTAGTCTATGTCCAAACTGATGGCATCAATTACGAGGGGAAATACATCGAATACGCGGTTGTTGACAATCGACTTGCGATATCAGTAGCATTAGCATATGTGGCAGTGCGAAACCCAGGGAGAGGTATAGCAGAAGTTCTGTTCACTGCCTACGACAATTGTGGAAGAGTATGCCATCCCTCCTGTTTGAACATGAGAACGCGTCAGTATGAACGATGTACCGGAGCCATGCGAATCACCAATCCAAATTATATGTATAGTAACGAAAGTAGTTACGGGGAATCAGTGGAAAAAGTTTGGGAGTTTGGGGAAGAATGTCCGCAGTTTAAAACCGACAACATCCATGTCTCATTTTTCTGTGACTATAGCCAGAGATGGCCTTGGCCTGATGCACTAAAACAAGAAGATATAAGAATGAACGTTCCCGGGCACATGAGAAAGCCTAGTGCACCGAGACCAGTATCCATACATCAACCTACATTAAAAGGTAAATTTACACAAAGATATAAACAATTCCCCAACCAGTTATGGTTGGTTATGGTGTTTGCCTGACTCTCGCTAGTTAATAAAAGACACGAGGTTTATCGAGTGCCTTTTAGAATTTGAAATTCACTAACGACAGTTATATAAACATTAAAACAAACCATCATAAGGTGGGGCATTTTCGCTCCCAACGTTCAGATGTAATATTCAGATAGCCTTATATCTCTAAGGAATACACCTTCAAACAATTGCCATAGCTATGACCTCACAATGGAAGATTCGATCGCAAATCATTGTAGCATTGCAATAACGTCCTGGATGTTAACCATTAGTGGATAACTAACATGTTTATCAACTCGTAGCAGATTTATCCAATGAGTTGAGAGTGAGGAATCCTATAGTGGTTGTTGGAGAAATTGATGTATTTATTTAATAAGTACATAGGCTTTATTTCATAACCTAATAATTCATAATCCTTATATTTTACAGAAGATAATTTCGTTACTTCTTGTCAATACATAGATAAAAAGCAAATTCCTCATGTTTCAAATTAAAAAAAAACACTGTTCATTATATAATTAGTATATATATATAAAGATACCGGTTTCGATATTTTATATGCTATTTTAATTTGTCAGAGCCGTGCTTTCTATTAATGAATTCTTTTTTTATATTTCAGTCTGCAAACCGAAGGTCAGCTCTTTCATGTCGTGTCCAATCAGAAGAGAACAGTGCAACGCACCTTGTGTAACCGGGGAGAAGTTTGCGTGTACCAATAAATGTCACTTGTTCTCGGAGTGCCAGTCTAACAGCATTTACGTTGTCCGCTGCCCGAGGTCACAGAACTTCAATCCTGAAACCAAAAAGTGTGAAAGACAGTACAGGTGCACTGTGCTCCCACAAAAGAGGACAACAGAGTCGCCCAGAAATCGTTTCCTCGGTAAATATTTCCGTCGTCGTCCATAAGTTATTATATTCACGTGCTGTAGACGTAAATGATTTAGTGCAGGTCTGAGCCGTCTGAGCTGGTACAACTAATTTATCTTCAAAGCTGTTTGATATTTGCAAATGAAAACACTAACATTTCACGAGAATCACAGCAACGTTCGAGTCCTTTAATTGTACAATTGTACAAAATGTACCATAAGAAATGATCGTCAAAACAACTAATTATACTCCTAAATGGAAGTGTTCATTAGAGTTTTGTTAAAAGAAGTGTAACAATTAAAGCACTCAGAATGAGTTCTCGGTTCTCGTGGACAAACGTTGTCTTATATATTATGTCGACATTAGCAACAAGCTTTAATATAAGCCGGTTCAGATACAGCTCTGATACATGTACATTCGTATTCCCTGATCCTAAGAATATCCTTCAGTATTACAACAATTGTATTTTATTGTATGGAAGGGTTTAACAAATATCTGCAAAATAATACACTGATAATCCACATATAAATTAAATCATATTTATATAATTCAACAGTAAATATTGTATTATATATATTTCATATTTCACGAAAAGTGTTAAAAGGATAGATGTACACTTGACGATGGCGCACTTTACTCTATTCTTAAAGGCAAAACAAACAATAACTCTGAGTTCAGAAAGTTGGAATTGTGTTTCGATTGATAATCCTCTAGGCGTAACCTTTCATATTAATTCCTTGCTTTGTACTTCGAGGTTGAACCATATATTGCGGTTGTAATATTCAACATTTATGGACTTTTGTTGAGGTGAACATGTGGTTATATGATTCAGAGAAATTGATATTAACCGAGACGAAGTCAAGGTTATTATCACTTTCTCAGATCTATACAACCACTATTTAACAAAATAACAGTCCTTCGTTGTAATATGAGATGTTTAATAATGTATTAATCATTTAACAAGATAAAACGCATTAATTGCACAGAGGAAAGTACTGCATGTATCAGGGAGCATTGTGCTGTTACAATCGAACTGACGTCATAAAATGAATATTGTCCTGCTGTTTCTAAAAAAAGTAACACCCAGCCAATATCACAAATCACCGACCTTCACGTGATTATCATTCAACCAATGAGAATGTATAAAAATGTATGTCATCTAATATTTATTCATATTTGCCTGCTCACTTCATAATATTGCATCTCATTGTAATACATTGGGCCTACCTCATGTCACATTGTAATATGCTTAAGTAACCTTCACGGTGTTATTTAAATCAACCCACTCCATCCTAACATATGCTACTAAGGTAAACGGTACTACTTCCCTTCTAAATGTATTTATTCCTCATTTTGATGATGTGCATTTATAATTTCTAAAACTTTGGTCAAGTGTTGGATTTGCAGTTCAAAGGTAACCGTTATGATTCATAAAGCCTAAAGTTATATTTTTCGATTTGATTAAATTATGTTTTTCAAATTTAGAACAAATGTATTTCTGTAAAATGCATCACGAGGGGTGTTTGATATGGAACATTTCTGTAGGAAAAGATTGAAATTGATATGTCATGATAGGGACAATGGTAATCATATAGTTCAACTTGAAAGTACCCTTTAACTTAAAGCCTATGACATGGTGGTAATTATGTACCCGTTGTAAAACATGCTCTATTTATCTTGAAAGAATATCACTGTTATCATTATACACTTCACTGTAATACATTGTGTTCTATTTGTTTTACTGTAAATAGCGTATACTTCTTTATAATACATTGTGTTGTTCCAATGACATTATTACGAACTTTATCGTTTACATTGTTATCATAACACACTTCATTGTCAAACATGATGTTATAACTGTTGCAAAGTATGAAGCTAACACTTGATTGAAATACAGAGTGTATTGTTCTAAAATCATTATCATAGTAATACATTTTATCGTTAACAGGTCGTTATAATACATTGTTACTATAATACACATCATTGTAATGCATGTTCTTGTGATGGTATACTAAATACATTATTTGATATAATGATACAATGGTACAGTATACCGTTCAAATTCGTAAGTCTAGACAGAATTGATGGGGACGAGTCTTGAATAAGATTTTTTTTTCATTTGTACTCGAACAGAATTTGTTGTTTCAAGTTTAATATCAACATCGAGAAAATTGGGTTTTGCATTAACGAGGGTTTACCGTAGCTGATTCCGCTTGAGTATATGTCCTTTCTTTAAGGCAAGTGACATCTACAATACTTCCATACAAAATATCTTATATACTAAAACCACAAAACAATGATACTGACGGGGGAAAAAAAGTTATTATAAAACTGACGATATGCACCAACAAGATGACGACTAACTTCAGTTTTCTGGTTTACAAGCACAAAAAGAGAATAAATATGATCAGGAAAAACGAGCGATGATGATTACATTATTAATAAGCATTGCTTTTCACGTGTATATCAGAAGCAGTAGATGATCACCGAACATTGAAGTTCAGAAACACCTTATGGCCTAGTACTCTACAATGAAGTGGATAGTCTGTTATTCCGGCATTTTTTTATCGCTGTCTTTAGGAAGATATCCTTTGATCTTTGTCTCATATATAAGTCAAAATAATGTTGTTTTGTTCTTCTTATGAATTCATTTCCTTCCTTATGTAAACAATAGCATTTTATATCAATCGGTGCTATTCTACCTTTAGTACCAGCTTAATATGGTGTGATGTTTGAGTGGCTAACACTAGTCCTTGTTAAGTTCAATCAGTATTAATTTAATTAATCTGCAGAACAGTATTTTAAATGTACAAAAACGTATTTTTTCGTTTTATTGTCAAAAGTGCAATATGAGGAGACTCAAAAATCCTGTGCAATATGGAAAGTGTTTTGTTGTAATAATTTACTAATTATTAATAGTATTTAAGTAATTTCTTTAATCACAGCAATTTGGATTGATATTTATTTATTCATATACATTTGATAAAAAAAATGGATATGGTGACATGCATCAATGAAACCATCTTCCAAATTATCGACATTGTGTAAAAGCGTGCATGCAATGTTTATGTATAAATACCAAACAATAATTGCAAATAAAATTTACAAACGTAAGCATCTTCTTTTTTTAATTTTTGTTATAGTGAAATTAAAACGAACACAATGTGATTAAATCTCTCAAAACTGTATGAGCAATATGAATATATCACTGCCGACTGTACAACTGGGATTTCAAAATTTCGCTTTTGATAGAGCAAACAAAGTTGTTTCTGAGCTTAATTATATACAGAAGTTCAACTCAATCAATATAAACTTATTTACATACATATTATTATCTTTTATCTTTAGTAATTTACATAAAATGAACGTGGGTTACATGACAAATTGTGGTATAATGTGACAGTGATAGAGAGGCTTAAAATATGTGAATACATTTTTGAAAGAATGCAATTTATAAACTGAGCAATTGTTCTAAAAAATATGCAAATGAAGGTAGACTGACGTGTTTGCACATTACGTCAAAAGCCCCAATCTATCAAGTCGACGTATTGTTTTGTCGTGTTCGCCCTCGGGGTCAATCGTCTAGAAATAGATGGATAATGATATTCGTGTACGCAATATCCCCTATAATACCATGTACGTCACACTCACCACAAGATATTATGCACATCACAAGCAGGAAACAAACAGGTGTAGAATATTTGTTAGCTTAATAATTACTATACAGCCTTATATAAGCTGAATTATTATCATAAAATAGTATATACAACTACACGTGACTGCAATCGTTGTTTGATGCTTTATCATTTTTGAGTCTCCGAATTACAAACAGAGTCAATAAACACAGTTTAATTAATTAAATGCTTCTCCATGCTATGCAAAAATGTCCTGAAACTAACTAAACATCGACCAATTTGGCCCTTATTGAATTGTTCTTATTCCTACCAGGAAATTGGGGTTGGTTTTTCATACTTTAACCGCAATAGTTATAGTTATGACGAATGGAAATAACACTTTGTCTGCTTATTTTATGTGGTTTTTGTCATCTTTAAGATTTTTTAGAAAAAAGTTCAGTTCCCATTTTGAGAAAGCCTTATTTAAGGAAAGTAAAAAACATTGAATGATATCGTTATGTTGTTGTAGTCAAAATGCATATAATGTTAGTTAAAAAGTGAATTAAAGGCAGAAATATTATAGTTACGTAACATATCACGTAATAAGTAATTAACATGTAATATAAATATGATATAATATATACTTCATGTATGTATATCAATACATGTATTTAACATACATACCATGGCATATGATGTTGCTTAATATGAATGATGCAAATGGGTTTTCCAAATTATAATTCATAGTGTTAAGGTATTTTAACACGGAGTATGTATGTATATACTTTTCAGATAAACCGTTAACAACATATAACACATTATCTGCATATTAGTAAAACAATTTATATCTATATTCTATAATGTTATCACAATTTGGTGACGTTACAACGTGATTTTATCTACCAAAAAGTAATAAATCAGGACGTGGTATTATATCAGGGTAGATTAATATCATTACAACTATGTATCAATTATCATTAGTAAATACGTTTTAACATCATCTCCTTTATTCAAAGTCAGACTTAATACTACAAATGAATGTTTTCAATGAAACGTTTTTACTTCATGTACATTGTAGAAGAATTATCAAATACATTTTTTGTAATTCCGCTAGCGTAATTGTTTCTCTCTTAAAAACCGAACCCCACACAGACATAAATAAACAATACGGATCTTTCTAGAAGTAATACAGCCCCGCATTTAGTTTGAAATATTCTAACTAACATTACTAGATACATAGCACTAATTGTCATTGACCTGGGTCTTCATTCACAATGGCAGATACATTGATCATTAAATCTTAAGTATGATTACGTCATATAAACAACTGACGCAGATTGTGTTTTTTAGTTATGAATGACTTGTTTGTCACGTACGAAATCGTTTGAGGTCCGCTGAGGTCCAGTATCGTAATACTTCACAGGGTGAGGAAAGACAACAAAGTTGTTTTCCTGGTGCTTGGTTAGATTTAAACAACTTTAATAGTGACAGTTCTGATGGGTTTTTTAATCTTTTGTTCACAACACAAGGCTACATGTTTACAACTGGGGAGTCTCAATCTTAACGAGGAAGACCACAGTAGTGGTAGATATATATGGATACGTAGTATTGTGTTGCAAGCAAATATTTAAAAAGGACCAAGTGTTCTTTTATTTTTAATATTCTGTTAAGATATTAATTGAACGAAAACAGTACATTTTCTTGTTACAGAAAAAGACGGCACATCTCTTTGTTGTTTTTTGTTTCGGACAAATTGGAACACATCTTTGATTTATTTTTAGAACTCGCCCGACTTCGACAACTTCGTTACAGACAGCAGCAACAGAGAAATGGTAATACTCCTACGGAACCTGATCACAACCACGGTCCTGTAACTGACCCACAACCAGGTCAGAACCGCGGTACACCGAGAGACTGGCGAAATAGAAGACGAAATTGGCGACAAAGAAGCGGTTAACGAAAAGTTAGCAGTGAAATCCAAAATAGCTTAAACTTTTGTATTTGTGTATGTTAGCCAAAGACTCATAAACATACTTCAATTCCATTTTGTTTGTATCTAAATATGCCTAAATTCGAAAGGTCATATGTTTACAAAAAAGAAAACGCCATTTTGTATAATATATACTTGTACGAAGAAAATAGCGATGTATGTCTTTAATACTACAATAAGAAATATACGATTTTGACATGCGATTAAACTTTGAATTCGATTAGTTTGGACACACTTCGCTCTTTGTATGAAAAGGTAAGACGATTTTTTTTGCCAATAAATGATGTTATTTACTGTAATGTTTGAAAGCATAGTTTCTTGAAACTTTGAACGATTGTTTTTTCTCTGATGTTCCTGAGTGTAGGGATGGCTTTTTATTTATATCACGTTTTGTTGATAGAAATTTTGTTTTAAAGATTTCAATTTTACATAACCCGGTTCAATATTCTTAATATACTTTTCTTAATGGTAATTATGTATAATAATGAAGTTGTTCGATAGCATTCGCGAAATCCTTAAACTCCAGATATTCTCTCGCGTTTTTTAAGATTGGCTAGCATAACAGCACATTCTAGTTAAATATCAACGGTTATTGGGTTTATAACAAAACAAATGGGAAAAAAATAATACTATAATAGTCAATGTTGTGTCATAGCATTATCACTAGACAGAAACAAAAATAATCAACACTACTGCCTGGCCATTAAGTCAATTGACACTAAAGAAACCAAGTTATACCAGTGTTAAAATATATTTTAAAGTGACTGGTGGAAATTCTAATTAGTAAGTAAACACATTTATTAATGTGTTCTTGTGAAGGAAACATCTGAAATTTTAATAACGTGCCATCTTTGAGGATTGAAAACATAAACATTGGCTCAAAATAACGCTGTTCAAACTACTGAGCTACAATTTGTAGAGTGTAAATTACTCTAAACGTGAAAATTCTTATTTTAAGATTATATAGGTTATAGATATAAAGAATATAGATTTCACAACTATTGTTAGCGCGAAAATGTTTACACCGCAAACAGTTTAAAGAGACACGACACGAAACGAAAATGTTAACACGCAAAAATTAACACTTTTACAGTACTACTACTAATGGTCCCATACAACAGATGTGCAATAGATTACCTTTTTTACCTCTTAAGTGAGGTTTTGTATATATGTGTAAATATTATTTGATGTACGATTATTTCGTTTTTGAAACAATATGAGATCTTATTATCTACAAATAATTTGGTCATTACCGTAATTTAAACTAGTGAACGGAATGAGTAAACAGATGTATTTGTTATGTTGTTATGTTCGAAAATAATTCTCCCCAAAATGAGGAATCTGTCTATAAAGTCCTAATTACGTCAATGTTTGAGTTAGAATTATATGTAAATCCACAATAGTTTGATTTAGACCTTGAACATGTCACTTATACAGACTGGTGGTTTAAAACAAAATTGAATATCCTGTTACAAAATATTTTAAAAATATTACATTGACCAATTTTAATTGTAATGTAATTTTTTTTTTTTTACAACTTGTAACGTGTTTTTGCTTCATATATGTACTTCTTTGTCTCATTATTATTTTTTCAATTGTACGATGAATTGAGAATTTGTTTGAATTATTATGCAACTTTCCATGTAATAGTTTTTATTATAAAATTGGAAAGTAACATTGTCTTGTTTGTTTTTTCTTCCTCTTCGTCTTTATCTCAAAATATCCATCTTCGTATGCTAATCAAATATGCAAAGAAGAAAAAATCATCTTCATGAAACGTTGTTAACAACTAATACGAGCAATCAATTAACGGTGGATGGGGGTATGTTTGCGAATTTACCCCCCACCCCACCCCCACCCAACCCACCCTATGATAGCGCGGATCTGATGCCGACTTTGTAGTGCTCTGAAATAACATGCCGAATGCACCAATCACAGCATTCCGCCAGGTCACATTATACTGACACCAGGTGAACCAGTTGTTGCCATTTCCCTAAATGCTGAACGTTAAGCAGGGAATAACAACTAACATTTTCAAGGACTTTGGTATGTGCCGGCCTTGGGACATATCCCGTTGCCTTCCCCACCAGGGCGAACGTTCAACACCAAAGCCAAAAGTGAGGTGCTGCCAACATGCAGTATGTAATAGCAGGTGTATTCTGTTTTCGATCCACGACTTGTAGGGGTGTAGTAGCATTGTTGTCATCTATTGTAACTGCATAGTATAATGAGTGTCCAAATTCTGGCCCGCAAAAACCACTGAAAATTTGGCAAGAGAAATTACACTAAGCAAGAAAATCTCCTTTTTTGGCTTACTTCAGAAATGTTGCTCCAAGATGAAAAAGTTTATCTTATTGCTATTATTTTCTTGTGAATCCATTTTATGTATACAGACATTCATTTGACGCTTACTGTGATTCATTTCACGTCTATTGCAAGTTAAACTTTTTAAATATGTTTTCATCTAATTAAACAACACGCGTTTCTATCATTTTTCCGATATTTCGTAGAAAGAAAGTTAGTCTTAGCTTGTTTCTATATCGACTTTTTTAATCCTTTTATTGTCCTTTTTTATTCTCAAAGCATTTGATCAATGACAAAGTTGATGCGTTTGATTATAAAAGTATAAATAATAAATATGTGCAACACATGTGATGTATATACAAGACGTTTTTATTAAGAGATTTGTACATACACACAAAACAATCGGATAGCAACAGCAAGATATGTGTTCCCCGAAACGATCAATTTTCCTAAACATAATTATGAACAAAAATAATAATGTGATATACTCAAATTTACATTTTTGGTTAATACTTATATTGACTTTAATGAACATTTATTTGTATTATTATGGTACGTGTATCACACAACAATGCGGTATGTCACCAGTTAAACAATACATGTGATCAAAGCACTGTCAACATACAGTGGCGGATCCAGAGACCTATCTGGGGG